CAGAGAGGCGATTGTCTGCCCACCAGCATCCCCATCTGACAGGCAATGTGATCCATGAAGCATTGTCCTCCAGGCCACAGGCTTAATTCCTTGTGAAACCTTCTTCTTGCTGCTGGCTGCACAAAGCTCTGGAAAGTAAAGCTCTCCTTCTCTTCTAGAACACCACCGAGCTGTGTGGGTTGGGGAGTTGGTCTGATGGGCTGGAATCTACTGGCTCCACATCTACACTGCCAGGGACTCCTCCTAGCTCCGGCCCACACTCGCCCGCACGCACCTAGGTGTAAAGGCAGCTCGCGCCTCCAGTTCCTGCATCCCTCAGGTTCTCTGGGAGCAGCTCCCTCTGCCTTGTTTCCTTCACCACTGGCTTTAAGCTGGTCAGCCAAACCAGCTATAAGAAACCATTTCACTTTCAGGCTTTTGAAATTTATGGAAATGTACATGCTTTCTGCTTTTGTTTGACTAATCTCCCATCCTCCCTTGCTCATGAATTGATGACTTTTTTGCTCTACCTCTCACTCTGATGGGTTTCGAAGGGGTAGAACTGGTTTCAGCCTGCTGTATTTCTGGTTCAGCCTTCTTGAATCTTGCTTACTTACTAGTTAACCTTCTGCAACAGACACATTGCTCCTTTCCACAGTAATTACCAGGAGAGTCTGAGGTGACCTACAGAAAAGGCATGACTTCCAAATTTGTACTTTCCAATAAAATCCGGAGAGAATGGGAAAGGTGTAGCTTGGGTGGCAAAGAGTCCACTCGCCTCTACCACACTCCTGCTCTGTCCAACCCAGCACACTTCTCAGGTGCGCTACAGAGATTGTGAGTTTGACGGTGGCTCTCGTCTCAAGCCAGCAGTCAAATCTGAAACTGGGTCTTCCAAACGTTTACTCAAATGTGACGCCTGCCTTTCCAGCCTTTTGTATCTGCGAAGCCAGGCTGTGAGAATCTGCTTTGTCAATGTGCTGTGAGTATTGCTGACTTCATCCTTTAAATTTGCAAAGAATTTGTCCAGGAACAGAGGTGATCAGTCACATCGTGATGGCCATAGAAAAGCACATAGGGACTGGAAAAGAGCGATTGGGACCGATTTGAATTCAGACTGTAATTTTTCTGGAAGGTTGACGGTGCTTTCTACTTCTGAAAGGTGATCCCCTGAATAGCCATTAGGGGGCGCAAGAATTGTAATACTGTAGTACATATAAGGTCCTCCTAAAGGACACCATTCAAATTTGCCCTGCGGTACCTCACTCTCCTGGTGGCAATGTGCTACCCTCAGTGTTCCTAGGACACGAGACTCGTGGCACAGGGAAATGGCCAGGAATCCCTGTGGCCTAAAGGAGGGCTGTGCTCGGATCCCAAGCACAGACACTCATTTCTGCAATGGCTGCCATCAACTCCTGAGCAGTTTCTTGTTAACCACTGGAAGAAAACTGATTTCCGTTCTCAACCCCAGTAGAAAAACAAATGACAGGTAGACAGGTTCCAGGCCAGGCTTGAACCCAGCGGGACCCCTGGAATTCGCAGATGTGGGCAGAGGGTGCAGCCGGGAGCACAGGGCAGTGGGTCGGCTACACTAGGAGACAGAAGAGCGGTCACACTGTGAAGACAAATCAAAGACCCTTTTACTGTGAAATTAACTGATGTTGGATTTGGGGTACAGAGTTATTTCAGGCATGATTGATACAGAAAAAAACCTTTGATTTTCTTTTCTATTTCAACAAAAATAGGCAAACACTTTGAAGGATGGATACTGTTAAAAAATTATCCCGAGAAATCTTTGGAATTGTCCCAGACAGCGCACAATATAAAAAGTAAGACATCGTCAAATATCACTGATCCAGCAAATCTGACAAATGAGTCTTTCATCTAACAAATAAAACTCGGCACAGTTCCTGGTGAAGCCACATTTTCTCTGACCATGGCTCATCTTTAATACCATTAAGTGCTCAACTTTGATATCTGAGGGCTGGCAGGGACAGAACAGTTCATTAATTGCTCCATCTATGGAAAGAAGGAGAGCGGTAGAGAAACACGATTTGAAATGATCTGAATTAGCAACTTTAGTCCTCAGAGCTGAACAGGGATCCTGCATTAGCGGGGAAAGATTTTCAAATGTGGAATTGAATTTGGTTCTTGCAGACTGCAAAAGCTCTAGGAGCTGCAAAAGTCTAGGAGAGGCAGACAAGTTGTTGCTTCTGACTTTTTTAAAGTAATTGGTACTTTTGTTTCATTTTGTTGCATGAGAAGATTCATTCTAAACTGGGCCTGTTAGTGCATGCCAATAATCTCAGCACTCGGGAGGCTGAGGCAGGAAGATCACTCACAAATTCAAGACCAACCTGGGCTACATAGTGAGTTCAAGGCCAGCCTGAGCTACAAAGTGAAACCCTGTCACCAAAATAAACAAGCAAAAAAACCCATCCTTTAACAATGTAAAGAAGAATTTAAAAACATTTTTAGTTTCACATTCAAAGTTACAATGGCTTAATTCATATTTCCAAAGATTAGAAAATACATTTAGGTTCTCAAAGATTGCTGCATAATACTTACTTAGAAAGTTTTATTTAAGGTGTAGTATACATCTCATGTGAAACTTACATGTGCACAAATTTCCAGCAGGTCTGTGTGACCAACACCAGGTCAGGATGTCAACATTTTTGTGATAGTGGAAGACCCTGTTGTACTCCTGTGGGTTAATTCCTGCACCTGCTCCTGGCCTTGGGAAATACCTTTTCCAATTTTCATGAGTATTTGATTTTCAAAAGATGGTGCCCCATACTTCCACTCCCTTACATCTGATCTGGTTTCTTTGACTCCTGTTGTTTCCCTGAGACTCATCTGTGATGCTTCAGGCAACAGGTGACTCATTTACTGTCATCACTTTATCTATGAATACAATATAGTCTAACTATTGACACAGGTCTTCAGTAGATACACATGCTCACTTTTCTGAATTGCCTTCCTGGCAGAGGACTGGTCAGTCAGCAGATGGGGAGGCATTGTGTATCTCTAGATGACCAGCTGGTTACCCATCCGGATGGCACCAATCATCCTGCAGTTAGAGCTGGGAGTCCAGTGTTTCACATTCCTAACAATGCTTGGCCATCATCAGCCTCATCAATGTAGCCACTCTGGAAATTTCATGATATCTTGTTGTGGTTTTACCTTGCATTTCCCCAAATACTGCTGGTGTTGTGCTTTTCATATGCTTGATTTTGTTTGGGGATTGGAGAGCCAAGAAGAAAATCTTGTTACTGGGACTAAGAAAAATGAGAGCGTTCCTGACCTGAGGCCATGTTCAATTTTTTAAAAGAAAGAATATAAGAAATCAGTGCATACACTTGCAGTAATACTTATGGGGCCCCAGGAAGAAGAGAAGATGAACTAGACTAACTGTGCTGGGGAATATGCCTCAGTCTACACCACACAGAATCCCTGCAGGCATCAAACTAGAGGACGTGTGGGATCATCACACTGGGAAAGCCCTTTAGAATATATAATCTGATGAAGACTATACATTATGGATATTTGCGATTATTATAACTTTCAATTCTGAACTTCATGAAATATTCACTATCAAACTTAACACAGCTTTGAAATCAAATAAAATGTACCAAAAAAAAAAAAAAAACCCAAACAAACAAGCAAAAAAAAAAAAAAAACAACCCAAAACATCAGTTAAGTCTTTGGACTGAAGAGAGTGCAGATCCATCCGAGACCCTTTCCACAGTGTCAGTTATCAGGGACCCCCTCAGTGAGTCCCAGTCTCCTGCCAGGCATCACTGAATGGCATGGCAGGAAGAAAGAACCATGCCATCCAGGCATGCAACAAAATAGGGGTGTGGCAGTGGGATGAGCAGTTTTTCATGGGAAACAAAGGGTCACAAGGCACCAGGAACCATGGTGTTTATTCACTGAGGAAAATGGTGAGGGGATTGCGGCTGATGTGCTGCTAGACAAGGGATGAGGCTTGTGACAGGGGGGATAAAGCCTCTTTCAGAAGGGACAGGGACAGCCAGATTTAGGTTACAGTTAATGATGTTCTGCTTTGTAGCCAATTCTGGGAAGGAATTTTCCTCTGCAGTCATGCAGATCTCAGCAGACATTACCTCATACCTTATTCCCATGGTATCACAGTTCATCTACCTGAGCTCACCCACAGCCACTGGAGGCAAGCAAGTCTGGTCCCTCATCAGCCACTGGCCTTCGTGAGGATGCACACACAGCCTCAGCAGGACTCCCTGATAAGACTTAAAGCCAGCACAGGGAAGTGACCCTGCACAGCCTGCACTGCACGCAGGCAAGCACAGTCACACTTGGGTCTGGGAGGGCAACGCAGGAGCTTCCACACAGATCCGCAAGGACTGAAAGGGACACAATGCAAGATTACAAAAGCCAAATAACATGAGCTCTACATTGGCCCTGGCCCAGCACCTGGGCACCTTCGAGGCAGCACAGGGAAGGGCCTGCGCAGTGCATGCACAGGAACCGGAGCTTTGGAGGTGCAACAGGGAAGAGCCCTGGAAACCCACTCATGTTTGAGCCAACGCTAGGCTGTGCACAGCAGAGCACAATTCTACAAGCGCTGGCTGTGAGACATCTCTGAGGTGAGTGGATGGCAGGGCTGGCCACGCGAACGGCACCAGGGACTCTGAGCAGGCAGAGACAGTGTCAGGCCGAGCAGTGGAAACTCGCAGGCCATTGCTGAAGAGGGAGCTTCTTGGCTCCACCCAGATGGTGACTGAAACCAAGCCGTGATGGGGTTCCATCTAGGTCACCAGCTAACTAACAGTCAGACAAAGCGAACCCTAAAATAGAGAAGCAAAGCAAAACACATATGACATACAGGAACGACAACTAGAGATCACTATTTCCCACCGATCACAGAGTTAGCTGAAAGTCACATGACAAGGCTGATACAGTGCCTGAAGGGTGAAATGGCCAACTCGGAACTGCTTGTCTACCTCCGATGCCTTTCTTCATGAGTAAATACACATAGTCACTTACAGGTTATGACTTTTATTTTCATACATGCATATAGCATATTCTGGTCCTACCCCCCCCCCCAAGCATCTTTCTCAGATGAAGGTAAGGGATGAGCTTCCCAGCCACGCAGCACAGAGGGCATGTGTCTGTATTCCTGCACACTCGCCCTCTCTGATGGACAGTGGAAGCGGGGAATACAACGTGGAATGGTGGATGTACAGCGATGCTAGGAGGTGCAAAATCGTAAAGTTCCCAGGATCAGGCGGGAAGGGGGAAAGACAGCATTTCTGAGTTGTCCTAGCTGTTACCAGGTAGGGAGGCAGGGACCAAGTCAGAGCGCTGAGATCTGCAACTGGCATTCTCTGTCTTTACCTTTTGGCATTTCTGCCCATACGAGACAAAAGTTTTAGAATACTTGGACAGAAGCACAATGCACTCGGCAAACCCAGGCTGCCAGCAGAGCCAGACCCCCGATCCAATCCATGTGAGGCTGCAGAGCCAAGTGCGGTGGGGCTGGCTGGACTAAGTGAGGAGCTGGGGGAAGGCGCCCACTGGCTACCAGCGCTCCTCCAAGTCACCTGCCGAAGTGACAGCTGGGGCAAACAGGAGGCCCTGCCTTCTTCCCCAAGCCTGATGTCCAGAGCTTTTGCCAGGCTGCTGGCCCAGGCCTCAGCTGCCGACCACTCTCCCTGGCTGGAGACAATCTGGGGCCCACCTCAGCTTGCCCTACCAAACCAGCTGCTTCTGTTGAGCCCGGAGCGGGGGGCTGTGGGGCATGAGGCCCGAAGCCTGCCTTATGCTTCAGAGCATTTGGGTAATAAGGTTCTCTTTCCTACAGTAGCAGCTCCAGGGGAAAGGAATCATTTCACCAGAAGCTCACAGCTCACATATTCATCTTCTTGGTGGATTCGTGTTCCACATTTCCCCAGAAACAGCAGAACACACCAAACTTAAGAAGCCCCCAATCTACATTCAATGTCACCAGCCTGGTCAGAAAGAAGGGGTCCATGAGTTGCGTTGCCCACAGATGCCCCCTATTTCCTGCTTCTCACCGCTCCCCAAATCACCCTTCTTCCCATTTCGTAGAGTGTTTCCAAGTTTCTAAAGGAGGCTTCATTTTGACATCTGTTTTTTTCTGTTTTGACATGAAAATCCTGAGACAGAGAGTGGGCTGAGCTCACGGTGCGGCTGAAAGGTACAGGCCAGGCGGAAGTCCTTTCCCTGATTTCCAGCAACACAGCCCCTCTCTTGTTCCTAAACGCAGGGTCAAACTTAGGTCCAGCACAACTGCAGTGTGGAAAACATCCTGAAGTCTCCACAGTGCAGAGGCGGTGAAGTCACCTTCCAGTCCCGAAATTCCGAGGTGGTGATTTCTGAGATGCGAAGCAGGCCAGCCTTCAACGGCTGCAAGCAATGCCTGAGATCAAGGACCATGACCACCGGAGAGAAACACTTCCTAAAGAAGGACATAGAGAAGAATGTAAAGAAGTTTCAGCATGCAAATTTACAAGAAATTTCTATTAGTCCAAAATCGAAAGATAAAACAGAATATGAGGTGTGATCAAAAATATGGTGAGTGTTAACACTACTGCATTGCTGTATATCCCTTAGAAACACTCCCCCTTCTTAAAGACACTCATCCCAGCATCCTCACCACTTTCTGGAGTCCTCACCACAGCTCTGGAGTCCTCTTTCCTGAAGGTCTTTCATCACATTATCTGGGCTGCCTCAGTGTCCAGATCCATTAAAGGCACTGGCCAATCATGGTCATTCTGACTTTGGGGCAGAGCCAGAGGTTGCACAGTGCCAGATCCAGTAAACGTGGATGAGGACTCAGCGTCCCGTTTTTATGAACTTGGCTGTGTCTTCAAATGCAATTACCCTAGAATACAGACTATCCTGGTTATTCACAATGCCCAAAACAAAAGCAACAACAACAAAACAAAAAGAAAACCAGAAGTCCACAGAGGACTTGTATGTGAAAACGCACCGCAGCTTTATTCCTGAGGCCACCAAACTGAAACCGCCCGGAAAGACTATCTTCTGGAGAATGAGTACTCAGAATGCTTCAGAAACACAGGGAAGCACAATTCGGTAACCACAGGGCGCCCCAGACATGCACCTCACAGAACACCTGGACAGCTGTGGACAGGAAGAAGCCAGACCAAGACACAAACTAAGGCATGCAGGAGGGAAGGTAAAACTAATCCCTACCAAAAGGATTATGGGGACTGTGAGCCCCACAAGGAGACATGAGAGCACTTTACAGGTGATTGACTGCCTTATGGATGTTTGAAGTACATGCCCTTGGTTGTCAGTGGAACCACAACAAAGGTACAAATAAACAGCAATATTATTTTTTCTATCCAGAACAAGAAGAAAATGAGGACATGCCTGTTTGCTCAAGACCTGTGGGATAATTTAAAAATACATAACAGAGGACTCTGTTTGGATGTTTGGCATTGGTTAGAGATGCCAGGAGACAGGCATCTGTCTGTCTGCTGCTCTGTCTGTCCGGCTGGTGGTGCTTGCCCAGATGCATGCCCGCTTCACGTGTGGTTCCCAGAATGGTGCACCTGTATGGCGGGAGCACCGCTCTCTTCGGCCTCACTTCCTCCTTATTCCATCCTGGGCACAGGACCTGTCCACACTCTTCCTGCTCAGCAGAACCGGGGACGTCTGCCGGACCTCCCCAGCGGAGTCACTGCTGACTAGGGGACAGGAGAATGCTTCTCTCTGCTGATCCCAGGCCGCTGTGTCCACCTGACCTCTTCCTCTGGGCATGGGACTCTGGGCCTGCATCTGCGTCATGGGAGGGGTCCTGCACTATGTGGCTGGGAGCGTCTCCTGTGCCCAAGTGCGTGTTGCCATCTCCAGCCGTGCTGCGGTGGGAAGGAAGTTTTGGAAGCTGAGTTTGGCCTCTGGCTGGAGTCACATTCCGAGTCCAGTCATTGCACTGACTCGGTCCCAGCCTCTGAGCTTGTCCAGGCTGCAGAGAAAGGATGCCTGATTAAATGGTGGATGGGGAGCAGCAGCAGCTGGTGGAGGAGAGATTGCCATGTCCCAGGGGGAGGAAGCCTGGCTGGAAGTAACATGGAAAGCTTAGGACAGCAGGAGGGAGACTTCTGTCACAGTGCGGCAAAGTGTTCCACCCCACTACCTGAACCTGAATGCGAGATTATTAAAAGCACTCACTACACCTTTACATCAGTGGTGCAGGAAGAGCTCTGTCACCTTTTATGAACGTCAAAGTTTTATGATGGTGTACTATGGAATTTTAATATGTGAAAGTATTTTTGTTATTCAGTTATAATTTACCAGAGAATGATTTAGAGAAGAAATTGAAGATTTCAGGGAAGCACAATTATTAATATTTAAGTGAGTAACCCACTTCTTAAGTGAGTTTCAAAATTTTTTTAGGACTCTAGGTCTAAAATAAGAAAATCTGAGGTCTGAAAATAAAAGGACTTTAAAAACCATCCAGAGAAACTGACTTTATCGTGCGTCTCATCAACCATTTCTCAACTTTTCGTGGTTGGGGAAGGGTGTGGGATTTTAGTGTGAGCAGAGCCAGAGCCCAGAGCTGTCTTCTGCCAGGGGACCCACAGCTGCAGCCCCTCTGAGCCCTTGACACCACACTGCCCAGAGCCATGGAGACCTGCTGGAGTCCGCCCCTCCAGCGCGTTCCCACCTCAGGGTGCTCAGGAGCCAGGCACAGCAGCAGGGACTCCCAGTCGTTGGATGACCTGCGCACTCTACATGTGTTACTCCCCTGGCATCACGCACTCCAGCAGTGGAGGCTTTACTCACAAGGGAGGGAAGAGGCCTCTGAATCTGGGGTTTGGTGCAGAGTATGGGGGAGGTCCTGGGAGGCTGGGAGAGCTCATCTAAGGGAACTTTGGGTGCTGGGAAGCTTGTTGTCCCTTCTGACAATGTGATATTTGCTTTTTTTTTAGACAGGAGTTTGCTTGGGAGTCCAGACTGGCTTCAAACTCATGGCTGTCCTCCTGCCTCAGCCTCCCAAGTGCTGGGATTGTAGGCATGTGCCACCACACCTGGCTTTCCCAAGTACTTTTTAAGCAACAAAGTCTTCTTGTCCTGCAAGGACCCATGAGACACGCAAGAGCACAGATGTGGGTCAGCCCAAGAGCTCTGCTCCTGGGCACAGGCTTCAGTGTCTCTATCAGCCCTACCTCCTCCCATGCTGATTTGAGGAGCAGAGGGCTCCTTGTGTGAGGCTCTGCACAAAACTCTGGAGGGGACAGCAAGCTCCCTATACCCTTGCTGCCTTCCGACGCTCTCCCAGCCTCCCTGGTCCCATCCTTTTTCCTCGTTAGCTGAGTGGGTTACTGCAGAAGCTCAGGGCTCTGGCAGAGATGAGCCAAGAGAAACAACTGCGGTGGGGAACACGTGGGCATTCTGTGTGCAAACGTTGGTTGTTTTCTTCCAGTAGCTAGCAAGGGTCCTTGGGTGGAGAGACGTGAGCAAGAAATAACTCTGCTGCCTCTGACCCAGAAAAAGAACCTGAGAGTCTGCTTTTCGCCAAAGTCCTCAGTTTTAACTAAAATTAAAATTTCATTGCTCCAAACTGGGGAGGGGGAGTGATGGAGCCTGGGAAGCTTAGCAGGCAGTTTAGTGACTTAGTGAGAGCTTGTCCTAAGGTGGTAGCTCAGTACCAATGCCTGGGTTAAGTATTCAGCCCACCCCCCAAAACACGTACGCAAGGCACACTTACACTTGAACACCTACAAGGAAGGGGGGAGGCACTGACCCACAGGACAGGGGTGGGAACTGGGATGCCTCTGGGGAACTGAGAACATTCACGGGGCAAATTTTAGTGTCCCCACCACGCTGACCCATCTCTGGCCCCCTCCGCCAGCCTCCACTCCAGGTTGATACACCATGGCATAGGGTGGTGCCATCCCATCTCCCTGCTTCCTTCAGACAGAGCGGGGAGGGGCATTGATGCAGTCCTTTGAGAGGAGCAGGAGGGCACGCTAGCGTTGGCATCTGTCTGTCTGCCTCCGGGGACAGCCTTGTGGGCTCAGGTAAGTAGGAGCTGTGCCCTTGCAGCCTCCTGACTACCTGTAGCATCTGCCTGCTCTGCGCTTTCCGGGCACCTCTGTCTCCCTCGAAGGTTCCCTCCCATCTGCTGGTCTCTCCATCCTCACTCAACAGGGCGGGGAGTGACTCAGCTGGCAGCCTGGACACAGAGTCAGGCTCCATCATCAGCCCAAATGGGAACAAACCCAGAAGCCTGCCATTCGCTGGTTTCACCAAGCTGGCTGAAGTTTGCTCCCAGGGACATTGAGACCTCCCCAGGAAGGGGGGAGGCCAGCATGACACCTGTTGGCTCCTTAGAATGGAGCCTGGGTCAGATGGCTGGAACCTGGGGAGCTCAGAGCAGACCTGGGATCCAGGAGATGGAAACCCTCAGCTTTCTCTTGTGTTGCCTATCTCACCTTTTTCTAGCTGGAGCAGGGAAGTCTTTTACAGGACAGCGCCTCCCAGTGTAGTCTGCCCTGGCTGGAAGGATAAGTGTTAGCCTTTTGGGGAAGGGTGCATGCTCTTAGAGTGTAATTGCTTCCAGGATCTTAGTCTCAGGGAGCTGTTCTCTGATCCTTAGTAATAGGGCCCTTGAGTGACTGATAGACACCAGCAGAAGGGTAGGGCAATAGCCCAGGGCTTACGGCCTGGTGAGCAGTGGCAGAAGTGTTGGGGCCTTCTTAATCAGAGAGTAGGACCATGACACCAGTGAGGTGCTCATGTGACTGGAGTTGCTTCTCAGAACAGAGCAAGGAGCACTATTCAGAAGAAAACCTACCCTCGATGGAAGGAAGCAGGACAGGGGACAGGGAAGAGCCACCAAGGGTGCCTTCTCTGCTGGCCGGGCTTGGCTTTACCTGCCGCTGACCCTGCAGCTCTCAGCTGCGCTCACCTTCCCTAAGTGCAGTCAGGGCAGGCAGGAGCATGGTCCTGGGGTTTCCAGAGCTCAGGCTGGGAAGCATGCACATTCTGGTCCACCGCTCCCTGCTTGTGGACACACCAGCTTGCAAACACAGCTAGACCTAATTTTCTAACTGTTTGAGTAACATTCCCCATACATTGGTGCTGGGCCATAATAATGGGCTGTTATTTTATAAACAGAACTGCAAACTGTTTGCTTTATCGAAATTCACTTATGTTTGCCAGAGAATTTCTTTTAATTAATGTTTTAAAAACAATTAATGAATAGAGACTTTTTGTATCTCCAACTAACTAAGCTAGCTGAGTACTCCAAACACCAACTGTGACCAGTAGTCCTCTTTTTCATTCCCTATAAGCTTCCTTTGTTCACGTGCTACAATATATCTCTATGGGATATAAGCTTAAATATTCACACTAAACAGCTAGACAATGTTAAGGTTTTCGGCTTTAATGTTGAATAAAATTAACCTCATCCACGTATTGCCAATC